GTATAATCTAGGTATCATAACATAATTTCTATTTTTTCACCAGCCACTTATGAATCAGCATTTTTCCAGCAACTACAAGAAATAAAGGAAGTTCAGCGAGATGAAGCTCTCCAGCTGCCAAGAGACCTAGATTATTTGTCTATCAAGGATGTGTCTTTGTCCCAGGAAGTTCGAGAGAAACTACATTTCAGTCGTCCACAGACGGTAAGAAACAGGCAGTAGAATAGGAGCAAGTTATAAATATCTGGTGCTTTAATTTTTTAAACCTAGGATTTGTAATGGTCATATAACTGTATTATTTAATCATAAGAAATTTTACCTTAGATTTTCCTATATCTCTGTGTATGATAGATGTTGATATATCCCTTGAGAGAGGATAAATCTTAGAATAAATAAATAACTGGAAGTCAGAACTTTTTTTTTTTTTTTTTTTTTGAGACAGAGTCTCACTTTGTTGCCCAGGCTAGAGTGAGTGCCGTGGTGTCAGCCTAGCTCACAGCAACCTCAAAGTCCTGGGCTCAAGCAATCCTCCTGCCTCAGCCTCCTGAGTAGCTGGGACTACAAGCATGCACCACCATGCCCAGCTAATTTTTTCTATATATATTAGTTGGCCAATTAATTCTTTCTTATTATAATAGAGAAGGGTTTCACTCTTGCCAGGCTGGTTTCAACTCCTGACCTTGAGCAATCCGCCACCTCGGCCCCCAGAGGGCTAGGATTACAGGCGTGAGCCACCACGCCCAGCCTTGGAAGACAAAACTTGATTTGATTATAATTATTCTCTTTGCCCAACCATATGCTAAACCATCTATATAAACTAGTATGCATGGCTTAAAAGAAACCACACTGTGGTGAAAGGAGTAACATATAGTGGTTTTCAAATCACTACCTGGATCCCTCCCTACAAGTTTCATGGTATTATCTTGGGAGTGAATAGGAAGAAGGAATAGAACCAAAGAGTTCCCCCACCCTGTGTTTCAGCCTACTTGTGTGGCATGTGCACATTGTATGTGTAAACCTTTCATTTATTATATATAATATATGTATGGGCTTCTAATAAATATTTCAAGACTGATATATAGAGAATATTCATACATTCCCTGTGCAAATACATTGCAGAAATAACAATACAATTAAAAATGGAGGGTGCTGCCCCACACCACTGGAGATGTTACATTATGTACAGTATACTACCTTATTAGAAAATCATATGACTTCAAGGATTTCAAATAAGGACTATGGACCTGTATTTGAAGAAAGGAACTCTATTACAGTTTTTCTTAGTTAATGAAAAGAAAAAGTAGGTACTCTAATGTCTGTAGTCATATGATCTTGCACTAGTCATTTTAACTTCTCTGAGCCTGAGTTTCCTATCTGTAAAATGAAGACATAAAATAATCACATTTCAGCTGTGCTCGGTGGCTCACGCCTATAATCCTAGCTCTCTTGGAGGCTGAGGCGGCTGATTGCTCAAGGTCAGGAGATTGAAACCAGCCTGAGCAAGACTGAGACCCATCTCTACTATAAGTAGAACAAAATTAATTGGCCAACTAATATATAGAGAAAAAATTAGCCAGGCATGGTGGTGCATGCCTGTAGTCCCAGCTACTTGGGGAGGCTGAGGCAGCAGGATTGCTTGAGCCCAGGAGTTTGAGATTGCTGTGAGCTAGGCTGACGCCACAGCACTCACTCTAGTCTGGGCAACAAAGCAGGACTCTGTCTCAAAAAAAAATAATAACAACAATAATAATAATAATCACATTTCCTTTATCTACTTTGCATGGTAATACATTAAGATAATTATGAAGATATTTTACAAACTACACTGCACAGTTTGTTAGTAGGACGAAAATAGATTCAATTTGATATAGCTCGCTTACATTTCTTTTGTGCTTTTAATTCTTAGATTGGGGCTGCTAGTCGTATACCGGGAGTGACACCTGCTGCCATCGTCAATCTGCTCAGATTTGTGAAGACCACTCAGCAGAGACAGGCAGCTATGAATCAATTGCCCAAGACTGACCAATACTTATATGATACAGACAAACTTCAAGAGAGAGAGCTATAGCTTTCATTTCATAGAAGACTTCTAAAAATTGTGAATAATTTAAGCAATACGCAAGTATAGATAAGAGATGAGAACTATTTAGCACCTGTTAAAATAGCTTTAGTAGGTTATTATGAGTTTGTCATTAATTTATGATAGAGGACAGAGATTATAATTATGCTTTTTCTGTGTCTGAAAAAACTAGTTGTAAACAATTTATATTCTTTCTCTAAGAAGCTCTAATATGGTTAGCCTGTTCATATATCTGTGCATTGTTCATCAAAGAGACATATAGTGAACCTAAAACTAAACCTGAAAACAAAAATCACAAACTTGCACATTTGCCTACTTATAAGGACTTTGCCCATTAAGAGTACTAAATTAATTAAAAGTCTTTGAACCTGTTTTGAAAGTTAGTAATCTTTTGCCTGGTTATACTAGGTTAGGAAGCAATATCAAAGCCCTCAAATTCTTAGGGCTGAAAATTTGAGATGATAAAAAATCATCCAGAATCATTCATCTAATTTCCAGTATTAGAAGTATTATGTAGGATGAAAGTTGACTTCTAAAAAGACTTCTGTACTTCTTCAGGAAATCCTCACCAATAATTATTTTTGAACATTAATGAAAGCCCTATAAAATAGAAATATTGGAAATCACCATTGTTTCCTATCATCCACAATGTGGAAACTTATTTATTTGGTAACTGGTTAAGGGAAAATAAAGTAAAGGTAGTTGTTTTATATCATACAATAAAGATATTTTCTTATGAAACTGTCATGGCCGTGATTTTTTTTTTTTTTTTTGAGACAGAGTCTCACTCTTGCCTGGGCTAGAATGCCGTGGTGTATGCCTAGCTCACAGCAACCTCAAACTTGTGGGCTTAAGCGATCCTTCTGCCTCAGCCTCCCCAAGTAGCTGGGACTACAGGCATGTGCCACCATGCCCGGCTAATTTTTTCTATATATGTTTTTAGTTAGCCAATTAATTTCTTTCTATTTATAGTAGAGACAGGGTCTCGCTCTTGCTCAAGCTGGTTTTGAACTCCTGACTTTGAGCAATCCTCTTGCCTTGGCCTCCCAGTGCTAGGATGACAGGCGTGAGCCACCGGCCATGGCCATGATTTCTTAGCACTAAAGATAGGTCCATAGTAACTGGTGAGTAGTGTTTCCCTGTTTTTAAGCCAGAATTTACAGAAGAGCCATAATAGTGCTGGTACCAAGTGGGATGACCAGCTGTGCCTTTTGCCTGGCCCCTCAGACACCTCAACCTTTCTGGATACACTAGGGGATGAATACAGCCAAATGGGCCATAGAGCCTACTTGTCCTTGGAATGCCAATCCAGATCTCTAGTGTCAGCCTAGGGAGAAGCTCCCGTGTCACCTTCAGGCCAAAGCAGGTACTTAGGGGAGTTCCAACAGTTCCAAAGCCACTTTGGATGTAGATCTATATGTGAAGCCTGATTATGGGTGTGAGGCAACCAAGTATCTTGTTGCTATAATTGCATATGGCCACTTGGATGTAGCTCAGTTTTGATGAATTTGTTTCGTTAATTTTAGTCTTTCCAGAAAGTAGTCAGATCAGTAACAAGTAAACAGTATTTGTAGGCCGGGCGCGGTAGCTCGCGCCTGTAATCCTAGCACTCTGGGAGGCCGAGGCAGGCGGATTGCTCCAGGTCAGGAGTTCGAAACCAGCCTGAGCAAGAGCAAGACCCCGTCTCTACTATAAATAGAAATAAATTAATTGGCCAACTAATATATGTAGAAAAAACATTAGCTGGGCATGGTGGTGCATGCCTGTAGTCCCAGCTACTCGGGAGGCTGAGGCAGTAGGATCACTTGAGCCCAGGAGTTTGAGGTTGCTGTGAGCTAGGCTGATGCCTAGCTCTAGCCTGGCAACAAAGTGAGACTCTGTCCCAAAAAAATAAAATAAGTATTTGTAATGTTGGATCATTTAGCAATGATAAATTCTTTTTGATATTTGATTTAGTAATTTCAAAAGGTGGTAACTTTTCTTTTAGTCATTATAGCTACTTCTGGACAAAATTTTTATTACAGAGACCAATACTATATTATATATATTTTAAAAAGAAGGTATTTTATGTACCTGTTTAGCACAAGAAGGGAAATCACTGTTTTTAAACTTTTTTTTCTGATTAAATACAAGAGAAAAGCAGTGAATGGGGTGCCTTCTGAATGGAATATAACAAAAATTAATCTTAAGGAAAGTTCCTAAGTGCTTTGAGAGGTTCTTGACAGCTACAATGTGGGTCTAGTGACACTACACATTCAAAGAAACTAGGTTTATAATGCTATTCCATTACAATAGTAACTGTCACTGAAAAATGATGGAAAACATTTAGGTTCTGCCATTTGCTTTAGGATGTGAAACCTCTTAAATCACAACTGAAAATATGTTAACATCACTCAAAATAATATTTCTGGGGTTTTTTTGGGGGGGGGAGTTTTGCTTGTTTGTTTTGGGGTTTTGTGTTTTTTGTTGTTTTGAGACACGGTCTCGCTCTGTCGCCCAGATTACAGTGCAGTGGCATCATCATAGCTCACTGCAGCCTCAAACTCCTGGGTTCAAGTGATCCTTCTGCCTCAGCCTCCTGAGTAGCTGGGACTACAGTCGCATGCCACCCTGCCCGGGTAATTTTTTTTTTATATTATGTAGGGATGAGGTCTCCCTATGTTGCTCAGGCCGGTCCGGAACTCCTGGCCTCAAGTGATCCTCCTGCCTTGGCCTCCCAAAGTGCTAGAATTACAAGCATCAGCCACCTCACCTGACTGCTCAAAATATTTCAAAACAGCCTATCTTTTGGTGCCGATAGCCAGAAGTACTATAGACTATGATGCCCTAGGGGAAAATGAGCTAAAAATGTAACTGTATTCAATTCAGTTACTTCATAGAAATCCCCTATTGCTGGCAGTAGTCAGTTTCCAACAAAAGTTGGCCACGCTTGGTGATTTCCTCCACTCACCGCAGACCAGACTGCCTAGTAGTTGAAAAAGGCATGCCAAAGTTCATTTCAACAGGAACAACACATAAAAAAGAGGAAATGTCTAAGAAACACTAAGCATTGGTAAAATTATTGGGGGGGGGGTGACAGGGAGGATGAAGATTGGGACCTATGCTAAATTAAATCATTATGGCTTTAAAAATGAAGTTCCTGGCCGGGCATGGTGGCTCACGCCTTTAATCCTACCATGTTTCCCCGAAAATAAGACAGGGTCTTATATTTATTTTTCCTCAAGAAGACACCCTAGGGCTTACTTTCAGGGGATGTGTTATTTTCCCCTCAAAGCCTCATCTTGCAGCACGCACAGGATGGCCGGGACCTGACAGGGGGAGCCGACATTGTTGGTGGGGCTGCCCGCACCTTTCTGGTCACCTCTGGGATAGTAGCTGTCACGATGGGGCAGATGAGAAGGGCTGCTCCTCTTCTTTACCACTCCGGGACGAAATGCATGGGTTGTGCAGATACGCTGCGTAGCCACACCCATCACTAGGTCTTATTTTCAGGGTAGGGCTTATATTGCACGAATGCTTAGAAATCCTGCTAGGGCTTATTTTATGGGTAGGTCTTATTTTCGGGGAAACACAGTAGCACTCTGGGAGTGGGGTGTGGGGGAGGATCACTCCAGGTCAGGAGTTCGAAACCAGCCTGAGCAAGAATGAGACCTTGTCTCTACTAAAAATAGAAACAAATTAATTGGCCACCTAAAAAAAAAATATGTAGAAATTAGCCGGGCATGATGGCACATGCCTGTAGTCCCAGCTACTCGGGAGGCTGAGGCAGAAGGATTGCTTGAGCCCAAGAGTTTGAGGTTGCTGTGAGCTAGGCTGACGCCACGGCACTCTAGCCTGGGCAACAGAGGAAAGCTCTATCTCCCCCCCAAAAAAGTGTGACACAAACACTTCAAAGGTGGTCGAGAATCTGTTGAAAGCGATCCATTTCTGAAAGGCCTGCAACAAGCAGAACACCTGAGAATGTTGAATGTGTACGGGTTAGGGTTAAGAATTCTGGAGAACTCTGTGAGGTTCCAAGGGTGCCTACTTTGAAGGGGAATGAGGTGTCCTGTGTACAATGTTTCTTGTATCTTCTTCAATCAATGTCTCTATTTTTCATATTACAAGACTGGATACTTTCCAGACAGACCTTGTATCTCAAGAATGGAAAAACCAACATCACATGTACTTTTTTTTTTTTCAGGCAGAGTCTCACTTTGTTGCCCCAGCTAGAGTGCTGTGGCGTCAGCCTGGCTCACAGCAACCTCAACTCTTGGGCTCAAGCAATCCTCCTGCCTCAGCCTCCTGAGTAGCTGGGACTACAGGCATGTGCCACCAAGCCCGTATATTTTTAGTTTTCCAGCTAATTTCTTTCTATTTTTTTAGTAGAGACAGTGTCTCGCTCTTGCTCAGGCTGGTTTCGAACTCCTGAGCTCAAATGATCCTCCCGCCTCAGCCTCCAAGAGTGCTAGGATCACAGGCATGACTACATGTACTTTTTAATTATGTGGAATTAATTGATGGGCACAAAGGGAAGTAAAAGTGATTGGAAATCAAGAAGGGTGGGGGTGGGGAGGAGAGAGGTAAAAACCTACCTAATGAACTGGCACACTTAATAGCCCTGATTTAATCATTATAAAAGCTATCCATGTAACAAAAACATTTGTACCTCCTTAATATTTTGAAATTAAAAAAGAAAAAGCCAGGCCGGGCGAGATGGTTTACGCCTGTAATCCTAGCACTCTGGGAGGCCAAAGCGGGGAGGATTGCTTGAGGTCAGGAGTTCAAAACCAGCCTGAGCAAGAGCGAGACCCTGTCTCTACTATAAATAGAAAGAAATTAATTGGCCAACTAATATATAGAAAAAATTAGCCCGGCGTGGTAGCGCATGCCTGTAGTCCCAGCTACTCGGGAGGCTGAGGCAGCAGGATCGCTTGAGCCCAGGAGTTTGAGGTTGCTGTGAGCTAGGCTGATGCCACGGCACTCACTCTAGCCTGGGCAACAAAGCAAGCCTCTATCTCAAAAAAAAACAAAAAAAAAACCTAGATGAAGCTAAGTGATGTGATGCACACCTGTGGTCCTAGCTACTCAGGAGACTAAAGCAGGAAAATCACTTGAGCCTGAGAGTTCAAGGCCAGCTTGGGCAATACAGTGAGACCCCATCTCAAAACAAACATATATTAATACATAAAGCCAAATGAATTAATTTGTATATGTATTTTGATCCCCCAAAACCTACTTCTTTATTGATAATTTATCCCCTGCTTATGTTTAACCACTTCAATACCAGCGTCGACTTTAGGTGGCTTTTCTAATTTTTATCAAAATAAAATTGTGAACATTTAAAAATAACATAATGAAAACATATATGTGTATGTTACCTATTCTGATTT